TTTTTTTTTTTTTTGTTGGTACCAGCGATTGAACTCTGGTCCTTGTGCTTGTGAGGCAGGTGGTGGAACCCCTGAGCTAAATCCCCAGTCCCCAATCTTTTTTAGACAAGATATCACTGTTAGCCCAGGCTGGCCTGGAAGTCACAGGGGTTCTATTGCCTCAGCCACCCAAGTGCTGGGACTGCAGGTGTGTGCCACCATGCCCAGATTCCTCTGTTATTTCTTATTTCAGAACAGTTTTAAATTTACAGAAACTTTTTTTCTGAGACAAGGTTTCACTATATAGTTCAGATGGCTCAGGATCTCACTGTGTAGCCCAGGCTTGTCTCAAACTCTTGGTGATCCTCCTGCCTCAGCCTCCCGAGTGCTAGGATTACAGGTGTCCACCACCATGCCCAGCTCCAGAAATATTTTAAATATTGGATATACCTCACACAATATTAACCCTACAATGACAATTTATATTAGTCTGGTACATTTATTACAATTAATGTGCCCATATTGGTACATTATTAACTAAAGTGCACAGTTGTTTCAGATATATTGATTTTTCTCTAAAATGTCCTTTTCTGTTTCTGAATGTAATCTAGGATATCATATTACATTTAGTTACCCCGATGTCTCAGTTCATTCTGGCTACACCAATTGCTCAGGCTCTATTTTTGATATTTTTATCCATTGTAATTACTGGTTAGATGATTGTAAAAATCCCTCTCACTAAGAATTTTAAAACACTCCTCTATAATTCAGATAGAAAATTCGTGATCTTTTCATTCTTTTTCTGTGGTGCTAGGTATTAAAGCCCAAACTGGCAGGCTGTACCTCTCAGCTACCTGTCCAGACTAGAATTCATAGTTTTAAATTACACAATTCAGTGTGGTTTAGAATATGAACAGTGTTTTTGAACCATCCTCATAGCTGGGCTTGGTGACACATACCTGTAATTACAGCATTTTGGATGCTGAGGCAGGAGAATCATCATACAGGGTCTCAAACTAATCCTCAGGATCACAGATGGGCATCACCATGCCCGATACACTTAACATACTTCTTTAGCATGCACAGGACCCTGGGTTCTAGTCTTAGCCACAAGACAATACAGAGAGGAGGCGGGAGAATACAAGCCTGAACTATATAGTGAAACCCTGTCTCAAAACCTAAAGGGAAGCCAGAAGTGTTGGCTCATGCCTGTAATCCCAGCACTCAGGAGCTTGAGGCAGTAGGATCGTTGCAAGTTTGAGGCATCCCGAACTACATAGCAAGATTCTGTCTCAAAAAGAACAAAACAGGGCCAGGGATTTAGCTCACTGGTGCTACTGCCTGCCTCACAAGTGCAAGGTTCCAAGTTCGATCCCGGGTACCAAAAAAAAACAAAAAACAAAAAAAAAAAACCCAAACTAAAACAGCCAAAAAACTACAAAAAATGAGGCAGGCTAAAGTTTAAACCACTGTGCTCCTCTACTGTGTTTTAGAATTCATGCCTAGGGGCATCTCTTTGTGCTTTTCTATTGTGTTTCCTTAAAGACCCTATTAGGGTGATGTGTATTTTCTCTGGGGCTAATTAGACATTTGTAAAACTTTTCTTTTCTGAGACCAGGTCTTGCAGTGTAATTCAGGGTGGCCTCAAATTCCTGGCTGGGATTAGAGGTGTGCACCAGCAAGCTGCAGTTAAATGGTTAAATTCCTTCTTTCACGAGACCCTCTGACCCAGTCCTGAAAGGCCTGAGGGCATTGTTCTTTTGTTTTGGTTTTGTGGTATTGGGGATTGGCCCGGATATTTGTGAAACTTTTGTTTTGATAGCTGGTTATTTAAATTCAGTGACCATTAAAAAAGAGGAAGTCTTTTTGAGTTTGAGAATTCTTTGCATATTCTGGGTATGAATAGCACTATGCTCTAAGAGCTTTATAAGAGGCAAATGCTTTCTTCCATCCTGATTTTTGTCTTTTTAATTCCTTCATAATCTCCTTTGAAGCACAAGTGTTTGTAGTTTCCTTTTCTTTTGGGGGGGCTGCCTCACTATGTATCATTTCCTCTGGCTGGTAAGGAGTATACTGTGTAGCCCAAGCTGGTCTCCAACTCTCTGTGTGCCTGCTGCCTCAGCCTCCAGAGTGCTGTGATGACAAACATATACCATCATACTTGGCAAACACAACTTCTTTTATTTTTTATTTTTATTATTTATTTATTTTTTGGTATCGGGGATCAAACTCAGGAACTTGCACTTGTACGGCCAGTGGCGGAAACAACTTCTTTTATAATTGTGATGAAATCAAACAACTATTTTTGGTTGCTTGTGTCTAAGAAATCATTGTCTCATCTAAGTTCTCAACAATGTACTTTCTTGTTTCAGTGATTTATATTTTAAACTATTTAAGATTCATTTACAAAGTCACTTTTATGTTTTGGGGTACAGGGGTTCTGATCAGTTTGCAAATGCTCTACTCTCAATTCTGCAGAGACAGTTTTATTCCAGATTGGTATATCTCCTCAGAGTCTGGCCAGAGGTAAAATGTCGATGTCAGGCTTGACCTGGTCCTGAAACAATGAATATGCTCTTTAATTCCAAGCTTCAGTTTGATAAGATACAAAATCCACAACAAAATAGGCAGCTGATGCAGGTGCCCTCTGTGGGCAAAAGCCATGCTATCTCAGAGCAGATAGAACACAGAACACGGGATGGAATATTCTCAACATAGAGATAACTACTACAAAGTCCAGCATCTTTGAAATGCCAGGTTTTTGAAAATATCCACATATCTGCCTGGATCTCTGCGTGGACCCGGATCACAAATATTTGCTCTAACCCCTATACGTGATAGGCGTGCCAGAGCACTCTTCCAGAGCCCTATAAAGCTTCCTGCTTTTTTTGTGTTCGGGGCTGAAGGCCTCTACTTGGCCTCAGTCCACCTCCACGAGGTGAATAGTCTGTACCTCTTTGCTTTGGAGAGCCTACTTGGGTGGTCTCATTCCTCCTCCACACCTGTTACACTGAACTGAATGGTTGGAGGATACATCAGGATCTAGCATTATTTATTTATTTATTTATTTATTTTTGTGCCGGGGATTGAACTCAGGTCCTTGCACTTGTGAAGCAGGCATCAGAACCACTGAGCTAAATCCCTGGCCCAGATCCAGCATTATTTTTTATGGAAAAATTTACTGACAGAATGTCCTTTTGGGTATTTTTTTTTTACTCTCCCGTGAAGACCAGCCTGAACTACATCGTTAGATCCTGTTTCAAAAAGAAAAAAAAAAGGCTTGTTATCTGATAGAAATTTTTCTCTTTCAGATCAGTGAGGCAGAGGGCAGCTGACTTTGGATTGGGTGAAAGGCTCAGAGAAGCCATTGTCCTTTTTTTTTTTTTTTG